TTGCTTGTCATTACCACGTTCGTGGCTTCCGCTACCCCCTCGAGCTACGTTTTCTCTTGCCTGTCGCGGAACGAGCACTCGCGAAGAAGCTGAACCACGGAGCCGTCACGTTCTCCCTATCAGAGAATCATCCTCAAAGGTGTGTTTCGGTTAAACAGCGGTTCGCTTTGATATCGACAGTGGGACGAATTGTGATTTATGATCGAACGCGACGACCGGAACTTCCCGCGGTCGTTGCCCCACTTTTTCGAATCGAATTTATATAAGTTCCGAACACCGGCGTTCCTTGTTTCTCGACGTGTCGCTCTTAGAATTACCTACTAGTAGACTGCGAATCTTCATGCAAATTTATATTTTTGTTGATAGAATTAATTGTAAAGTGCTTCGTAGAGGGTTGTCTCAACCCCTAAATATAATCTTCATATCTCATTTTAACTATTTCTTATATTTTTACACATTGACACTAGAACTACCAAAACAGTCAAAATGACTTACTCGTAATTTCTAATAAAATTTGTAAAAAATTTGCTCGACTGAATTTTTGAAAATTCACCGTAGTTTTTTATAAGAGAATGTTCCATTGCATTATTTCTTCACGTATCCATCGTTTTAATTTCTTCAGCACAAATAAATACACCATAACTCGGTAGTTCTTGTGTTAAGTGCATTCTAAACATTTTTGAAAATTCAAATTTCCCATAAACGCATAAACATCCGCAGTCTACCTATTAGTATCGACAGATTTTATTTAAAATTAGCCATCGTGCCCTGATCGTCGCTTTACCATGAACGTAGTTTTTCGAAACATTGTATACTGCTAATGTACGGTCTACTAAATTTATCGTAAACGAAAGAAATATTTTTAGGACCATAAGTTACTTATTCGTAGACTGTAAGTGACGTTCGTGATCTCCACGTTCCAAGTATCGATATAAGAACCATTAAACTATAAAAGGAATTTTAATGGCTGGCTATATACTGACCTGTTCTACTTGGTTCTATTGTCTGCAGAATGGAATCAAAGTCAACCACTTTTATCAACTCGCAGATAATAGTTTGAAACAAAATTACACTTATTGTACTACTTACATATTCAAATTGAATTTCCAGGAAGGAAAACGTTCTACGTGTTGCAAAAAGAAGAATTTTTTTACATATAAAAGTAATCTATGCAAACGTTTTGTAAAAAGATTTTATGAGACTTTATTAAGACCATTACCTTAATTAATACTTAAATTGTATTCTATAACATGTTAATGATGCTTGTCTCTAATAACAGCAATATGTATCTATTTTCTTGATGTATTTTGAAGTTAACTGGACGTGCCTTTGAGAAAACGGTATTCTCGTTTCTCACTAAGCGTTCATTGAATCGCTGAGGATGTCTTTAAGGTGAAATGCTCATTTAAGTTGTACACGAAGCATCCATGGATGCAGCTGTGTCTGTGTATTTCATTTATTAAGGCTCAGCGTGAAAGATGAAGCGTCTTTTAACGGTTTGGATTACCAAGAAGACATTCATCTTAATTACGACGTTGTGTCGGGACGTCGAATAGCGTTTCGAAGGATTTGCAACGAAAACCGCTGATTATTTGGTAGTGAAGCGGCTATCCTCGCAACGAGCTCCCATACATTTTGCGAGTAAAATGTACAGAGTGGTGGATTTCGTGGTAATTGATACCGATCAATGTTCGTTGGAAATTTCCACAGACAGGATCTGTTGTGGAAGGAGGATTATCATAAATCATCCTACGGATCTCGTAATTTTATTGGCTGTCGATGCAACTACATTTCAATGAAAGCGTTTGTGTAATAAACTACACGAAATATGAGTAGAAACGATAAATTAAAGTTTCTTTTCAGATTTTAATGCATTAGGTATGAAGCTCGATTAGTTTTAACTAACTTTAACTTAATCTCTGTTAAAATATTTCACTCTGTTTGTCATTGTTATCACATGGAATTAATTAACTGTCAATCAAAAACTAAGCTTCTATAGTTATTTTGGTGCACTTTATAATGAAATTTTACGTCTTTTTTATTCCGTGGATATAATCAATAAACATTCAAATTAGTATGCATGAAATTCAATTATAAGTATTTCTTCACTTTGTTTATTTATTATGCACTGTATAATTATAGAAGAAAAACTAGAATAAGAGTAGAATGTAAAAACAATATATATTTACGTAACGAATAAAGCAGGCATTCAATAAAATTGGAGTTAGTTATTTTATCAATTTGAAAATTGATTTTATTTCGAGGCGGGGCCGCGATAACTGAAGAAATGCCGCAAATATTTTCGATGCCAGTGGCGATCTAGAAAAATACATCGTAAGAAGTTGATGCGATAAAAAATCTCCTAGCTCCGCGTCCTGGCTGGGGCTATAAAAACAAGAAAACTGACCCACTTTTAGAAATACGACGCGGAACTCGGCCTCGATAAAAAGTTGCCGAATCAGCGCCCTCGACGATCGGTCGGAAATTAAATATTTAATGTATGCCTCTAGCTATTATTGTGGGCTGCGCGGGTGTATATAAACGATGATAGTTGAATGCTTTTAACGATACATAAATGGAGAGAGAATACATTTTAATCTGAATCCGTGGAGAAAAACGATTTTTATCCAATAAGTTGATCGGTTAACTTTCGAGAACGAAACGTACAACAAAATTAAAGATTTAAACGGATTACTAATAAAAGACTCTTTTGAATATATTTCCAATATTTTTATCAATTTATTAAAATTTTCGTAATGATTCACTGGGTAATGAAACAATTAAGTGATGTTGTTCCCAACAGGCCGTTAATTGAAATAAATCGAAAAATGGAAAGTGTCTTTTCGATGGGACGGGAAATTTGCTTATTTATATACAGTCAATAATTATCGAATATAATATAAAATTGTTAACGCTATATACAACGATCATTCGCTTTATGCATTTCTCCATGTTTCTCAAATTTAATTTAAAAATAAATTCACGTTTTCCAATAATTCTTTCCGGGTTTTTAACATCAAAACTACGTAACAAACCCTAATCTTCCTGGCAAATGCACCAATTAAAAAACTTTTCTGATTCTTTTATTTTCAAGTTCTCAATCCTCAAACGAACGTATTATAAACATCGTGCAGTCGGAATTAAAATTCTGGAGACGCGTCTGTGTGGGCGGTAATAAAATGTTCCTTTAAACGACTAAATACGCAAATCGTTGGAATGTTCGAGTACAAAGGGATTCGACGAGCGTTCCAGTTAAAACAAATTGCTCTACGTACTGTTCGCGAGTTACGCGTTTGTTGTGTCGCACGCACGCGAGATGTGCAAGTTGGCCCGACGGGGAACGTGGTCCCAGTTCGCGAAGATTTGCCAGAGAAAGCAGCCCTCGAAGTTTAAACTTCCGGAATGGCTGGCTGCTCGGCGAAACGACGCCTCTGCGGTCACGTACGTTTCCGCGTAGCTTCACGCACGTAAGTTCGAAGTAAGGTCACGGGGGAAGCCGGCTCGAACATTCGAGCGGCTCGATTTCGCGCCGAAAATTTACGTCGCGGCTGCGCTGGGAATTCTACGGCTTCGCGGCGTCGCTCCCTTCGAACGGGTTAGGGGCGGGTTTTGTGCTTTTTAGCCACGTAGAGCGTAACGTGCGGTTACATCCGACCTGGTTGCTCGTCCCTGTGGCCGAACGTAGGAAACTGAACAGAAAAGGAGGATGGTAGACAAAGCTGAGAGTTTGGTTGGTCGACTGGTACCGATAGCAGGTCGCGGGAATCCCCTTTCGCGAACCCTTTGCGGCTCGGAGTATTCCTGCAACTACTTTTTATTACCCGGTAATTAATTACAATGGGAGTTCCAACTGGGAAGCAGACGGCTCCTTCGCTTCCGTTTGTTCCATTTCCACCCCCGTCGCGTTTCCCTCTTGGTTTTACCACTTCTGTTTAACCTTTGCCCGCAACTGTTGTCCTACAACGCTCGTTTCCGCGTCGGACGATTTGGTCTTATCTCGTTCGCGCTGATAATTTGATTTGGAACATTTAAAACGTGCAATAATTTATTGCACGTTTCTGTAATTCGTTTATCAGGTGTCGTGGAGAATATATTATTTTGATGCAAAGTGTTTGGTGGTTTAATGGTTTTTATATATTTCTAACTCACAGCAGTGTTTACATGGTATATTATCTTGATTATTGAACAGAAATTATTGCATATATTTATGCATTTGTAATTTCTGCCATGTAAATATCGTTTCGTTCGATCGTGCGGAGTCTACGATCATTGAAATGATATTTCGAGAAGGTAGAAGAAAATGGGTTCCGAAACTCGAATTTTCGGAGCTAGTCGTATAATGCGTCTACTCGAAATGTTCGAGTATTCGAATCGATCGCAATATTCTGTTCGAGTACTTGATCAGTTCTACTGGATGGATCCAATGGCTGACTACATATTGTACGATACCTCTTATTCTCGGCCGTTGCGCGCTGCTGTGGCTGGCTACACGCTGGGCAATTCTACTTATTTGTACTTCGTGCAAGAGAACCTAAAGACCACTAATTTCTTCTTGTTAAAATCGATCATTATATTGCAAAAATTTAAATATTAACTTAAAATAGGAAAGTTGAAACATGCCATTCGGTTAGTGTAAATATGTATATTACAAGGATTAATTTTCTATTACATAGTATGAACTAACGAAAACTCAATAAGAAGATCGCTTTCAAAGTAATTGAAGAAATACTTCAGATATTATGATTTTTTTATGGAAACAACAAGTGGCCCTGTAGATTCAGCCAATTATTATTTAATGCAAGTATCAATAAATTTGTAGATATTTCTGTAATTAAAAGGTCGTTTTCTTATCATTTAATATAATATTTATGCAACACAGTGTCAAAATAGCCTTCAACTTTGACTAGAGTAATTTCTATTTCATCATAATAATAAAAATTTTGGAATTGTTTGGCAACAGATATCTGATTATTAAATACTTCTTTCCCTTTCTGTTACAGATCGACCCAAAAGTAGCGTTTCCAAGGAGAACACATCCAAAGGTAAGAAAAATATTTCAAATCTTTTAATCGCGATTTTATTACTCTACAAGGATAATTATCCTTAATGGATATAAAATTGTACAAGTTTGTACAGAAGCCAAAAACGAGAAATATTTGTTTTTCAAACAAAAGTATGCATTTTTTAACATAAATTATTTTGTTACATCAGTCTGTATAAAAAAAAGGTATAAAGAATTCCCATTTAAAAACGCAATACTTTATGAGATATTTCATGTTTTATAATAGGATATTACTTTATTCCAACAGGTGTTCCGACGTTTCACCATGAACGTCTAAATATTTTATTACTCGCTTCCTTACATTTTTCATTACATTCTTAAGTTGTGCAGCAGCTAGAATTGCACAACCAGTTTTAATATCAACTTTCGTATCATAAATTGAAACAGGACGCCGCGAAGACACTTTATCTTGTTAAAAACTCTACAAGAAAAAACGTTGAGCGAGTCCTGATTGTGCAAACGAATTAATGCGTGGGACTTCGTGTGCCGAGTTATTTTGTTTTTTATCGTGGTTGAAAATAAACATAAAATATGAAATATCTCGCATGGTTTCAATGGTTAGATCGTAATACTTTTATACCCGGAATGATAAGATGCATCAGTTTATGTAAAGCACTGCGTAGTCCAATTTAAAAAATAAATGCAAGTACTTATTACACTTGCATCGTTGCACCGATCTAGAAAATTGTGTCATCAAAAAATGGTCTCGCGTGAGAGATTTAACTTTTCCCTTTATGAATTTTTTGCATCTTCGCTTAGAAAGGAGCTAGGGGTTGTCCTAGTTTCCAGAATCATCTTGCGGAGTACAAATATATGAATATCTTATTCGAGTATTAATATTCAAATAGTAATATAAAAATAGCTCTACTTGAATATGCACAGTTTTTTCTCGTTTTTGCTAGCTAAATACTCGCGTATTAAACATACGCTGTCTTTAACATTAAACAAGTACACATACAAGATTACTCCAAAATGGATCATATTTATCATGATTTCTTGTTTGTTTTTTGAATTAACGTTTATGCAATTGAAATCAAAATCTAGGAAATGTATGGACGCATGTTATAAACGAACCTTGCATCACGGATTTACGGGATAATTCATGCAGTCTCGTTACACACGGGCACGCATTATATTCGAGATATTACGGTAATAATATTTGAATAGTAATGTCTAGTAATATTCGTGTAACGATGTTTGATTATTTGTTAAACGTTCGAGTGGTAAACTATTCGAATGGCTCTGTAATAGGAAGTCGAACGACGGAAACAATGGTGAAAAGTGGGAAAAAGGAGAGAGTGACCGTAGGACCGCGACCGAAGAGAGAATAATAAAGCCGTCTCGTTCTCGTAATAAGAGCGATTAGATGTAATTAATTTCAAAACCGGGAATTATTTTCTCCCCCGGTCTACTTGGCGGGTGACTAACGGCCGAAATTCTCGCCGCTTCAGACTCCGGCGCGGCGAGATGAGGAGGATGGGACGAGGACGAAAACCGTATCAAAAGGGGAAGAGGCAAAGTGCAGCGGAGGGTGGGTCGACGGGGTCGCGTACGCGTGTGTATTCGCGCATAGGAGAAGGGGGTGGTAGGAGAGGCGAGAGAAATTTGCGCGGCTTAATAATATAAATGCCAGGCACGCGAATTACCGGGCGAGTGACTGAATTGCGCTAATTTTAATTGTACCCTTTCCCTTCTTCCCTCTTCCGTGGACCCTGACCGTCTCCCTCCCCCCCTTCGTTGCTCGATGCTACGTCGATCCCGTTTCAACCGAGCTCTTTTCATCGGGGCCGCCCCGCGTGTGTCCGTCTGCGCGGCGCTTGTTGCCGCGTCCTCGCGACATTTCTGCATTTTTACAAAAGCGGTCCGCGCCGTCGGCAATTTTATTTCATCCCGTCGCCGAAAGCCGGAAACGCATAAATTATGACACGACCGGGGAAATCACGATTCACCGCCGACCGACCGGTAATCACGTATCTGGGGTATTAACGAGCCGCGCGTTCGATCGGTCGGATTGCCTCGATGAAAATTTTGTTATTTCAGTTTCAAAGTCCCCTCCCCCCTCCCCCCGTCTATAACAGGCCCCCAATTTGCGCTATTATTCGATAGGAGAATGCGAGTGGCAATTTCGTCGATTATCATGGAAAATCATCCGGGGAATATTCCAAGATGAGTTGTTTCAAGGAAATAGATTTACTGTTACTATGTAAAATAAATTAAAAGCTGCATTATCGTTCGATAATACTCAATTAATTTTGTTGAGAATGAGCATTGCATGCATGTATTTTTAATGAAAAGTTGTATCTATTGATACAGTCTCCTGGGGAGGACACTCGTTCATTGCACCCCCTGAGCGTCTCGTTTTGTTTTCCGAGCCTCAAGCTTAGTTAGCAGAAAACCGTCAAGCTAAGGATAGCATTTTCGTTTTGTAAAACGACATTAATTAAATACATACTTAGTAGTGATATATTGTGAACTGTCGAGTGTCTTTCTTCATTCTTAACTTTCTGCCAAAATTGCTGATTGCGTCTCAAGCTTAATTCACGAATCACAGTATTTATCGACAGATATGTTCTTTGTAGCTAGTCTCACAAAACATTTAAATACGACATTTTTGATCGTGGAGCAAATAATTTTAAAACAGTTTCGAGTTAGGTTAAAAATAGTTAAACCTGGATTAATTCTAAGCTTAAAAAAGGAAAACTAACAGAAATCGAAGCTGCTTATGAAAATTCGGTGCAGCCAATTTTCGACGGTTCTTCCGGGCGGCTCGTAGTGGGCGCGCGCGTATTTGAAATAAAATAACGACCATTAATCGCGAGATGGAAGTAACATATTTCGCCTGAACGCTCGGGGCAGCTGGAACGGGCGGTGCAATTTTCATAAAATGGCGTTGGCTGCGCTGGCCTCGAACCCTCTCTTCCTCCGTTCCTACCGTCCCTCTTCGTCTGCCGCGGAGCTCGTTCGAAAAAGTAATACGAATGCACGCGTTCCGTTTCGAATTCGGGATCGGTGCCAGGAACTCCGCTCGGCCGCGCGTACGATACGATACTGGCACGTCTGGCGCGATCCGCGGCGCGATAACTCGACGCTATAATAGATGTCATCGTATAGTCATTCTTAAGGAAATTCCTTTTATATCGATATCGAATAGCGTATCCCGCTTAAAGTGGACGTAAACCGGGGAGCAAATCATACGTTCCCGCGATGATAATCGCCGTTAGACGAGTCGTTCGCCGTCGGGGACTTCGATCCGTGAGCGCACCGGGGGTTTACGTTCTTTCGTTAAATTAGATTGGAAAGCGTTCAACGAGTCACTTCCACGGATTAAGGAAAGGGCACATTGTAATTGGGGGTTTCTATCGAACAATAACAGCGGGTGAGTTCTTCTGGATGAAAGCTCGAGCGATGAAACGTCAGAAAGTAATTGTAGAAAGGAAGCACCGAAGGGGCTAAGTGCCAAAATAGGATAGATTGAGATTTTTCCATAATTAGATTCTACGTACCGTTGCCAATAATCCCAGAAAGGCTGTCAGCAGTTCCCTTGTGATTGAAAAGAGTGCAGTTGGAGCAAATGTTATCCTCGATCACGATTTATTTAAAAAATAAGTGCTCAAGTACACTCCGAATTGATCGAACTCTAAAAACTTTTTCTTGTGATAAATGTAATCTTTAACGCGGTATAAAACATTGGAAAAGTTTTAGCGAACGAAAATAAAATGAAAATGAAACTTTGCCTTGCACTCCTGCCTCTTGACCTTCGTCTTCCTTCGTAATCGAGGTTTTATAATTTAAAATAAACTACGTCAATTCTATAATACAATTCAAGCTGGTACGATCGATTCCCTTACATTAAATTCCTTATTAAAATTCCTGAATACTTCCACTGGTAACGCTCGTAACTTTTTTCCAGCACGAAGGCAATAATGAGACTTTATACTCCCTTATTACAATACTAAATTTTTGACGTTGCAATAAATTTCTGCCTCTCCAACGGCAAGCATCCGGGCGTCGTTGATACGGTTGAAACGCAACTTCTGACGTTTATTTAGACCCGATGCTGAACTTTGGTAGCGATATTGCCCGTCTTGGGTCCCTCAACGGGGCTCGAAATTTAGCGTCAAAAGTTCGTCAACCCCCAAAACACATGTTAGACCCGATGAACTTTACGGAGAAAATGGCTGTGCCACAAAGTTCATTGAAATGTCACCGAGTGTCCCTACGCTACAGCCTGTCGTAACAACCTCCTCGAGACCGCGTGCCGGAAGCGCTTTGTTACCGCACTTCCGGGCTAGCGGAAATGGCGCAATGTGCTTCCGACATGGTGGAAAAGTAGCGACAGTCATTACCGAGTCCTCCAGGAACGCCTCAACGTCCCCCTCTGTTACTTTTCTTCATATTCCTCCTTTAGCCTATTGTCTATCGCGCTGAATGCACGCCGGAGGAAAGCGTCGAAAAGAGAAACAGAGCGAGACGAGAATCGTATAAGAAAAATATGTTGAAAGATTGAACTTAAAATCTTTAAGACATGCACACGTGACATAGAAGGGCTAGCTTGACTGACAGATTTCCACATGGTCGTGACAGTCACGGGCAATTCTCGGTACGTTCGCCGCTGGCGGTTTATTTACTTCAGATATCAGACAGTGAGTTATACGTTTCATTCCGGGACCTTTCGTGCTGAAAAACATACATTCTTTTCACTTCGATTTTGGGATAGATTAGGTTATAAGCTTCTGAAACGACATTTTAATTTCTTATTTTTCTTTACGTTGGTTTTGTGTTTTTTATACTTTGCTACGTCCGGTTTATCTAACAATAATAATTTCAGTTATTGAATATACAGATATCGCGAAGCAGTCTTCTTTTTCGAAGTCTCTATTTAATTGTCTTCAGAAAATTGAAATGTCCTATTGGGAATATTTAATTAATCGTTGATCCTACATTTACCATCCGTGTACGTGTTACAAAAATATAACTTGT